CAAAGTGGGGGGGTCCTGTGGGGTGTCCCCCGCCTCCCTGTCCCTGGCCTTCGCACGGGGCAATGGCAGCAATTAAAGTGTTTGGGGAGATAAGGGCGCACGTCTCCCGCCTGCTGCTGCCCGGGACGCGGAGATTTCACCAGGACTCGGGTTTGGTCACCTGCCAGCTCTGGCACAGGGCTGAGGGGACAATGGGGCACCAGCAGTGGGGACAAAAGCCACCAGCTGTGGGACAGGGGGATAGAAATAGGGACCTCCAGTCTCAGGGGGACATAGTACCCCGGCATGCTCCTGTCCCGCAGAAAGGTCCCAGCAGGTCCCTCTGTCCCTTTGCAGTCCCTCATGGGATGTCCCCAGCAAGGAGCAGCCAGGACACCGCTGGCTGGGTGGCACTGAGGTGGCATCACCCCATTAATTAACACCCTGTCCCATTAAACCCCATCAACCTCCTGCCTGACACATCCCAGCACAGGGATCCATCCAGGCTGGGGGTCAGGATGCCCTCACCCTGGGGACAAGAAGGGACCCAAACCCCACACCCCATGTCCCCAGTACCTTGGTGGCAGCACAGGCTGTGCCTTGGTCATAGTCCTTGTGCCCAGCTTTTTTATCCAGCTTGCTCCACAGGGCCTTGGCACTCCAGTAGTTGAGGGCAGCCTTGAGGCTGTGGTAGAGCTGCAGCCCGCTGCCCTGCAGCCCCAGGCACTGGCACAGCAGCCCTAGGCACTGGCACAGCTCCCTGAAGCAGCCCAGCACCTCCCGGCACTCCCCGGCACGCAGGAACCTCTCAAAGATGGCATGAGCTGGGTTACCCGGCTCATCGGCCAGCACGTTCATCCTGCTTCACCCAGCAGCCTGGCAAAGGATGGCAGAGATAAGTGTGGGGGGGACCCTCCTGGACCCCCATCCTCAACCCCATCTGATAACAGACCTGGTGTCTCAGCGCCAGGTTTCCCAGTTGAGGGTGTTGTTGGGTGATGGTGCCACCAAAATCGAGGTCCTTCCCGGTAGTGGTTGGTGGAGCCTCCCCTGGGTGCTGCACCCAGCAAGCCACGGTGTCACCCTGCCACGGTGACGTCAGGGGAGGGGACAGGGAGGGCTGTGGTGGCAGCAAGTGGCTTCCTCTGTCCGTCCGGCGTGTACCTGCAGCGGCCCAGAGCAGAGCGAGGTGTTTTGGAGCAAAGATGCCACTTCCTTCCTCATCACCCTCGGCCTCGCTGAGACAGGGATGGGGAGGGGGGGTCCTGGCCACAGGGACAAACAGAAGCTGCCCCAAAAACCAGCAAGACCCAGTCCCAGGGCGGAAAGGAGCAGGATTGGACCCATCCCACCAGTCTGGCTTTTGCAAGCAAAAGTGGGGTGACTTGTCCCCCCTCAACCTCCGCCTCTGCCACCACCGGAGCGGGGCGGAAGCAGATTAGCACAGAGGAAGCGCCGGTGGGGAAACCAAAAAGAAGCCAAAACACCATAGGAACGGCCTCGTTACACCACAGAACTCACGGGAGGAGGGGTGCAGTGCATCACCCCATGGGTACCCCAAAACCCCCCTGCCCTTGGCATCTCCCAGGGGATCAGCATCTGCCTCCCACTCCTGGCACCACCATCCTCTGCCACCTTCTATCTCACCAGCCTGAGCATGAAGCACAAAATTTCGCCCTTTCCAGCTGTGGTCACCAAACCCTGGGGTGGGGGGAAGCCTCCCCCAGGCTGGCAAAGCAGCTGGCAGAGACGTGGCACTGCCAAGGAGGAACTGGTGGAAACGCTCGGCAACCCGGAGCGTTCTCACCTTTGAACCCTCGCTCTTTGCCCTCTCGCCACTCGGTGTTATCACCGGGCACGTGGCAGCACCCCAAAGGTGACAGCACCCCAAAGATGGCAGCTGACCCCACAGCAGGATGCCAGAAGGGGAAGGACACCGAGTCAGAGCCAAGCTGCTTTGAATGGCACAGGGGAAATGTGGTGTTTAAGCCTGGAATTAAATTTCAGCTGGAAAGCCTAAATTCCAGCTGGGTTTCAAGTTCATTCTCGCTCTGGCAGCTTCTGCCACTTGCACGTGGCTTTGCAAAGGCAGCTGGAGCCACAAAGCACTTCTGTGGGTCACCTTCCCTCCCCAGCACCACAGCCAGGAAATCCTGGCATTTTAACCTCTTCCTTCCTGGGCAGACACAAGGATAAAGCATCCAGTTGAGCAGGAGTGGGAGCTGCCACCCACCTGTCCCCAAAGCAGCACCACAGGGACAGGGGACACAATGGATGCATTGGTGGCACGGTTGTGAGACCTGGGGACAGATTTTTGCTCTTCCCTGGAGCAATGCCAGCCCTCAGGCACTGCCAGGGGGATAGAATGAACCTGGGGAAACTGAGGCAGCGCAGCAAACCTCACCGGAGGGTGCAGGCATGTTGTCCCACCAGCCACCCGCCCTGCTCCCGTGGGATGCTGGCCAGGAAGCCGTGCTGGCTGGCCGGGCTCCAGCACCCTGCGCTGCCCGGGCACGATGGGTTTTCCCCCAGGAGCTCACATTTCGGTGCTGGCACGTGCCAAGGCCACCACGCAGCATCCCTGGGGTGATGGGGCAAAGGCAGGTGGCTGGGAGCACCCACTCCAGCATCACCAGCCCTTGGCTCTGAAAAAAACTCATCTCAAGGCCTCGATTTCCATCCAACATGATGTTTTCCCACATCACCCGGGAAAGCTTTCCAGCCCCGGCGCTTTGGTAGGGAGGTTTGGAGGAGGCAGAACAACAAATCTTGTGTTACACCAAGTTTCCTACGGAAACACTGCTGGTGCTGGCACACTGCGTCCCCTTTGGCGAGCAAAAACCCCCTCAACAATTGCAAGCAAGGACAGAACCCCCCCCCCAGACACTCAGCTCCTGAAGGTTTGATGGTAACAAACAGTTTTCAACCACAAAAACCAGTGCCAGTGAAGAGGGACACGGTCTGGGCCAGGCTGCCTCTGGCTCTGCCATCTCCATGAACATCTTTTCCATTTCTCCTTTAAAACTGCTCCTAGGAGGTGGAGGGAGGAGGTGGGGGGGGTTGCAGCCAGCCCTGACTCAGCTCATGATGGCTCTGGTTGGGGTGGCTGCAGACATCCCTATGGGGACATCTCCCACACCACATCCCTGGAGTGAGGACAACCCATCCCTCTTTGCAGGTTGGAGTGTTCCCCCCCCCCCC